AGGGCCTGCCTCCTCATTCGGCATTCGGGTGCTGGCTGCATGCTGCGTGAGCGCTGCTGCGCAATCCGCTGGCTGGCTGGCACTCACGCTCTCACGGGCGAGTMGGAGRKAGCACGCAGCCATAGCCAAGCTGCGCTGCTGTATGCTAGGTGAAGCGCAGGGTGGTCCTTGGGGTGCTAGTGGCATCTGTGCGGTGTGGATCGGGGTTGTGAGTGTTACGAGAGACAKACCTGGTGCTGAAGCGTGCGAYATTGGTCGCCATATGCTYGTACCTCGGGAACGCTGTTGATGTCATCATTCTGCTTCGTAGTATAGGCTAGATAGGATCTGCCACCTGTAGTCTGGGCGCCGAGCGCCAATAGGATATCAACTCTGGTTCGTAGTTGATGATGATGGGACTACTTCAGCATTGTCAATTTTGAACTCTTGGTGTGTTCTTATTTGTGTATCTCGTGAGGCCAGTCTGCTGTGGTTCGAGGTCAAGACTATCTGGGCTCATATGTATGATGCTGTTTGATTGAGTTCGCTAATGCTCATCTTCCTTGCAAATTGGTATCGGAGCTGTGGTACGATTGCGCTCATCTGGCGCTTGTCTTCTGCCTTATTCGGTACATACATGCGGTCTGCTGGGAGAGTTTGGCCGTAAGTGGTGTGTAGTGAGGAGGGTGGAGACGAGTGTGAAGGCGACCCAGGTGGTGAGGGGCATCACCTGGAAGGCTAAGGTGTGAATATTGGGTGTTCGCAGTGTGATGAGAACTATCTGTTGGGTGATTGAGGCTGAGGTGGAACAGCGAAATGCTGGTTGTGTCGATGCTGTGACTGGTCATCGCAATCATCTTCAGGTCATCTGGTGAGATTATCTCTGTGGTTGGGGGCAGCATGAACGAGGTACGTTGCTCTTAACCTTATCTACCCTCTTCATCACTTCTCACCGTGAGGTTGTGAGTTCTGTCTTGAGAGTCCTCTCATCGTGAGGTATCGTGTGCGCTCAACCTTGAGAGTCGTGATTGTTCACGTGGAGCATCTGAGGGAAGACGGGCCGAACTTTTTGAAGGGCCATGGACGAAGCACTGGGTCACGGTCACCATGCCAACCCACTGGGTGTAGTACACGCATGCTTCGCTGCAAGTCTTGGTTCTGCTGCTTGCGCATGATAGGGGTTAACTCGAGTGTGGCAGCCTCTATAGACGCTTACCTGACCGTCTATAAACATTTCTGGCTAGGGACTCGACTCTGATCTGGCTGTGATCGTCGTCCTGCTGCGACGTAAAATAATTCCTGATGTCACTTGGGGGCGGACGTTAAATTGCCTCTTGATCAGCCAGATCATCCGAGTGGAAGGCTCGTCGGCGTACGAGGGTAAATAAGAGTGTTGTGGCTGCCTTGCTCGACGATAACCCGGGGCACAGGGGTGGGACCGGATTGCACACCTTTGAGACACGCTTGGCTTCTGATGCAAAGAAACGTGACACCGTGACATTGGGAAGAACAAAGGGAGGGGTAGATTTCAGATGATAAGTTCGGGTTTAAATTCCAAACTGTGAACAGACCCGGTCAATCAACATTATTTTTATTATTGATTAGTTAGATGGACAACCATGTGACATCTGACAGACAGCATTAGTTTAGAATATTATTTATTCCTGATGCTCTCTCTGTTTGGGAACTAATCTTGCAAAAAATAGTGTTGACAATAGGAACCTCACTTACCTGTTGACCCCAAATGAGATCTGTTATGATAGCCACCACTAATTAGTTGGTCTGTGTACTATGATGTGGTAGGCATCTAGAATGATCTAGTGTGGACAGTGCACAGTGCTGTAGCCTATAAGCGACGTGGAGGACACCGGAGAGGACGACCGCATGACCTTACGATCGGCTAGAG